AAATGTTTCGTTATTACTTACCGATAACGGGATTTGTAGGAATCTTCCAGGACAGCAACATGAGATGATTGGCTCCAATAGGAAACAATTAAAAAAACAGTTAAATACCCTCCCACCCCCTCATACCTCAGTTGCGATAAAAGTATACTACCTCCATCAAATCCGAAGGAAAAATATACACACTCCTCAACAACCATAGGTAATACACAAACAGGGTGGGAAGTAGACTTGCTGTCCTGGAAGATTCCTAGAAACCCCGTTATTGGTAAGTAATAACGAAACATTTCTCCAATCATCTTCCAGGCCAGCAACCTGAGAGGATAACCAAGCACTCCCCCAGCAAGCCTACCATCTTAGGGTGGGACCACTGCTTAAAAGCACCTTTCGGCCAAACGAGAGGTCCTGCTGCGACAGTACGTCAACCTGATGTTTTACGAAGGTATCCTGTTGCGACCAGACTGCTGCCTTGCAAATCTGGTCCACCGATGCGCCAGCTTTATCTGCCCAAGATGTTGCCAGATCTGGTGGAATGTGCTTTAATGGAGGGAGGAACTTCCTTACCTTCTGAACCACCTGGCCAAGGAGGCTTTAGAGGCTGGCAGCCCGTTATGGAGTCCGCCAAACAGATGACAAAATCTCCTAAAAGATCTAAAAGCTTCCAAAAACTGAAGCAAACTCCTTCAAACATCCAAAGTATTAAAGGTCTGTTCCCTGGGATTCTTAGGGGCATCGCAGAAATAGGGAAGCACAAATCTCCTGTGACCGATGAAATTGGGTAGCTAACTTAGGCAAGTACAGAGGATCTAGCTTCAAAATCACCCTGGCAGGATAATTAAATAGGGCTCCCTGATAGAAATCGCCTGTAGATCCAACCCTTCTAGCAGAAGAGATAGCTAAAAGAAAAGCAAAGCAATTTTCATAGACAACCACTTAATGTGGGCCTCCCTTATTGGCTCAAAGGGTGGCTTAGAAAGGCACTCCAACACCAAGGATACATCCCACGGAGGGAACGACTTATCCCTCAATGGACGGGCACGATATGCAGCAACCAAAAATTGTTTCACCAATTGCTCCTCTGAAAATGTCAGATCCAAAAATACAGACAGGGCCGAAAGCTGGACCCTCAGAGTACTGACTGCCAACTTTCTATCCAGGCCGTCCTTTAAAAATTGCAAAAGGGCAGAAACCGAAGATGAAGCACCACTCTTGTGCCCACACTATAATGAAAACAACTCTCCAGACCTTGCTATAAATTTTTCTGGTCACTAATTTTCTGCTGGACAACAGGGTTTCAATCACCCTAGCCGAACAGCCTTTCATTTGCAACAGCCGCCTCACAAGAGCCAGGCCGCCAAATGAAAGAATTCCGGATCCGGATGCAGCACCGGCCTTTGCCCCAACAGATCCCTCCGTGGAGGCAGGATGCATGGGGGCTGACCGACCCTGTAGCTGCGAGAACCACGCTCTTGGGCCACCAAAAACAGGACACAGACTGACCTTGCCAGTTCCTGGAGTAAACGAGGAAGCAGGATCAGTGGAGGGAAAGCATAGCCCAGACCGAAATGCCAGCTCTGAGCCAGAGCAACCACTCCCTTGGACCCTGGTTCCCTGCAAAGGGGAAAGAATGCTGGCACCTTTTTGTTGCGACTGCTCGCGAACAAGTAGTCTTCCGGCTGTCCCCACCGGCCTACAATCTGAGCAAATACCTCTTGGTGATTGATATAAGCCCCCTTGGAGGAATGGTCCGAAAAACCTGAATCTCCTTCCCGGCTAAGCGTACCTGAAACGCCCTAAATGCGTCCCTTACAGCTGACAGTTCTCGGAGATTGGAAGAAGCGACCGAGAGACTCCGAGGCCATGCCCCCTGAGCCTGCAACACAAACATGTGAGCTCCCCAGCCCCAAGAACTGGCACCCATGGTGACATGAACGGGATTCGCCTGACCCCACAACCCGCCTTCCAGCAGCCTGTCTTCTGACATCACCAAGCGAGAGACTCTCGCACCTCCCCTGGAAGCTGAACCCTCTGCTCTAAAGATGCCCTTGTCCTGTCCCATTGTGATGGAACACATGAAGACATCTGGAATGGAACTAAGCCCAATTCAGAGCCGGGATCGAGGAGGTCACGACACCCAAGAGCCGCATGATCTCCCTTACAGTCAAGTATACTGAGGAAAGCGCCTTCTGGACAAAGCCCAGAATCATTTGCACCTTTTCCATTGTCAGGAACAACTTCCCTCCCACAGAGTCTGTTATGTAGCCGAGAAAAAACTGCCGACTGGTGCGGAACTAGGCAGGACTTCTCCTGATTCACAATCCAACCCAGACCGGTCAGTAACACCTGAACCCTCCCTAGGTTGGCCAGGACCACCCCCATTGAAGGGCCGTAGATAACATGTCGTCCAAATACGGTATCAGGTAAATGCCTTGTAGGCGCAAAAAAACTACTGGTTCTGCCAGGAACTCTGTAAAAATCCTGGTGGAAGAGGAAAGCCCGAAACGGCCAATGCATCATCCCCCGCTCTGTCCGAATTGCGATGTGGAGAAACTTCTGGTGTTGACAGATGAGTACGTTATTAAAGGCATGCGTCTTTCAAGTCCAGGGTGACCATAAATATAGACTTTTGGAGAATTCTCCGAACTGAATAAAGACTCTCCATTCTGAAACGTTTGAAAGTCAGGAACTTATTTCAACCCCTTCAAATTCAAGATCATTCTGAACTTGCCCGACGGCTTTGGCACTAGGAACCGATGGGAAAAAAACCCCTGAAAAACTGCTGTTCCCCTGGAACTAGAATAATCACACCCTGTGAGGCCAACTGCATTATGCAATCCCTCAACGCCTGCCCCCTCACTGCTTCCCAAAAGGTTTAGGGGGCTGGGCCAGAAACTCTAAACGATCACCCCCCCCCCCCCCCCCCCGCACACAAAAACACATTTATACAATGAAGAGTTTATTAATGTTTTTGCCTACGATTTTCGGGGCCGAAAACCTAAAAGGACCCCCCCCCCCCCCCCCAGGAGATCTAAGACAAGGGGGCTGCATGCAATTTCTTCCCAATGAGAAACAAAAAGGGAAAGCCTTCCTCCTACCTTTGCGACGGCGTCACATGGTATTTGTTTGTTGCCTCAGGAGCTGAGAACAGCAAACCCCCCTTGGGCTTGTTCTCATTACAGGGCCAGCCCCGCTTTTGAAACTGGGGCCTATTAGTCTGTTTCCTCTGCTCCTGTGAGGGACGAAACTTCAAAAAGGTATAGAACAAAGTTTGGACTTAGAGGGAATGTCTCCTTCCCAGGTTTTTAGCCAGATCGCTCACCTAGCAGAATTCACAAGGGCCCCAGACCTTGCCGCTGCCCTAGCACTCTCCACGGAAGCATCTGCCAAAAGGCCACTGCCTTCCCTAAGGCCGCTAGAGATCCCTATATAGGCGATCCTGAACCGAGGATAGGTGCCTTAGGTGGATCAGGGATTTGCTCTGTGGCGTAGATGGCCTGTAATAGGGACTCCAAAAACTCTAATGGGAACAGATGCCGTGAAGGGCGAGAATCTCCCCCTTCTTCCCAGGAACTCTGAGTTGGAAAATGAATCCGAAACTCTGGCTTCTACCTTGCTGCTTGCAGACTGAGCAAGTGACAAGTCTCCCAGCTGTACCCCTGAAAACTTGGGGCAATCAGTGGAACAGAGGAGGCAGGCACCACCTCCGCCACAACCGGTTTACACGACTGGTCTTCAGCAGCTCAGTGTTCATAGAATCAAAAATGGTCTTCACCAAGATTCAGCCACCAAAAACTTATGTAAGCATATTTCCATATTTCACAAAACTGCTTAACCCAAACTAAGGGGAGTTTAACAGTTACCGCAACGGTTTCGATACAGTTTGGCAGCTGGGGCAACCAGAAGAACCCAGGGATGTGGCTTTCTCTGTAGAAGGATCCTAGGCCAAAAACAAAAAAAGAAAACAATGTCAAAACATGCCCAACACTCATCCCAGCGTTCATGCCACCATGCTGTCTCAGGCCGAGCAACCGGACTCACCGCACCCCTGGCCTTGGAGGCAACAGCCGGCTTGACCTGATCCGGATGGTAGCGCAGCTTTCTCCCCCTCAAATGTCCCGAGATGTACTGCACAGCACGAAGCGGCGCCCCAGCATGTGAAAAGCAGAGAAGGGCGCAGCGGAAGCAACACCGCAGCGGCAGCCGGAAATTACGTCAGTGCCGCCTGGAACGCACCACCCCCTTGTGTTCCACCACCGGATTCCCACCAGCCCCACTCGTGCAGCCTACCTGTAGGCTGCCGAAGCTGTCGGACTTGGCACCATTGCCGGGGAGCTTCAGGCCTTTTCCTCCCTGCTGGAAGAAGCGAACCTGGGAATGAAGAGGAAACTCCAACACAGCAAGGCGACCAGCAACAGCGGAGCGGTACACAGCTGCACAGAGGGGAGACCAGCGACCACAAGGCCGACCGGTCAGGAAGAAAAGAACAAACGTGACGAAGGTTCCTGGACGGTAGAAAACACAAAAAAACTGAGGTATGAGGGGGTGGGAGGGTATTTAACTGTTTAAATTGTGTTTCCTGTTGGAGGAGCCAATCTCAGGTTGCTGGCCTGGAAGACGATTGGAGAAATTTCGGTTATTGTAGTTTCTTGCGGTTTCACGAACGCACGCAATTTTAAGGCTCGACATGTTTGGTATCTATTTACCCGGCGTGACCCAGTCTTATATTTTACAAAAATACGGTGCAACAAAGTGCAACTAGCATCTTAATATTCTACAGGGCCTCTGCTTTCAGAAAATATATAATTGTTTGGGGGTTTGAAGCAGTTTTCTAGCCAAAAATTCTGATTTTATTATGGTGTGCGCAAATGCAAGAAATGGCTTCGAGCAGCAAGTGGTTAATGAGGAAAAAAAAAGAATTTAAACAACTCTAGTATCAGGCTGCAACATAACTGAAAAAGTGAAGGGGGGTCTGAATACATTTTATGTATAAAAATAAATCTTACATTCTGATGGTCTGTACGCGATTTGGAATTCTCCACACAGTTACCATTAAAGACACCCAATCTTGTTCCTTTAAAGGTAGTTTGTTGACATTCTCTTTAGTTTTTTGATATGCAAGAAGGGATTGAACAGCTTTGGTAACCTGGGGGAAAAATAAAATAAAATTATATATAACATTCAAAGCAAAGAGTGAATACAAATGCACACACCACTTTCCATTGATTTCTTACAATCTTAACTTATTTTCTTGATTACACTTTCACCATTTGAACTTTGTGTATGCCCATTACATGCAAGCCAAATAAAAATCCATTTTAAATTCCAGGTGGTAATGCAACAAAAAATAAAACTGCCAAGGGGGTGCAAGCCACTGTACATGTAGGATGCACAAACTGATTGTATGACCGTTGCATCAACAGCCACTATAGCACAGCAGTCCTGAAACTGAATAATGCTATACTTGGACCTGCTTGCTGGCTAGACAGGCTTGTGTGGCAATGGCTGCACCATCTGTAAGCTGCTGTATTTCCACAGTCCATATGACATCTCACAATCCAGAGCTAGCAAGGATGGAACTTTTGGCTGATCTTTAAAATGATCTTTTGACTGTTCTGCCTTCCCAGTCTAAGCATTGAAAGGGTGATCTCTGTAACTTACAGTTGTGATGAGATGGCAATAACTCCCGATCTTAGTGAGTTTGCAGATAGTCCACCAGCCGCCATTATGCATTTAAAGGACATGTGCATCATCCCCAGAAAATGCTGGGGGCGATGCTCACTGCCCCTCCAGACAGGAATATAAAACAACTTTATGCTCTTCACAGAGACAATGATTCTTCAATTCTTATTTTAAACCGAAAAAGCTCAATGATTTTGAAGGATCATTTTTAACAAAAGGAAAAAAAAAGTGCAGAAAAGATGTTACGTAAAAGACAAAAAACAAAAAAAGGGAACAAGAATCAAATTTAAAGTCCTCGGTTTTATGGGTTCCAGCAGAGTAAGTCAATGAAAAATATGGATCTATGACTAGCTCTTACAAAAAAAAAGTCTATTGGCAGATGTGCTTTTCTTGGTAAAGGAAAGAGCGCCAGCTACTTTGTATAGCAGCTTTTTGTGGATCTTCTAATGGGAGTCACTGAGCCAGCCCCCACCCAATCAAAAAAAAAAAAGACTAGGAGTGAGAGATAGCAGAAACTCTACGATTTCACCGGGCACACCCATAATGTCAGTTTCTTAAATTACCATATTTGCCGGCGTATAAGACTGGTTTTGAGACCTTGAAACATCCCCCGAAAATCGGGGGTCGTCTTATACGCCAGGTACATACGGAAGGATAAGGTATACTGCATGTAGCTTCGGCTACATACAGTATACCGCGCTGAGCCAATCATGGCAGGCTTTGTATTATGAATACAAAGCCTGTATTCATTAATACAAAGCCTGCCGTGATTGACTCAGTGGAAGACTGAGGACACAGCGGGGATCGTGGACAAGGTAAGAAACTGTAATCCCGAGTGTGGCTCGGGGTTAATTTTCAGTACCATAAGCGGTAACCCTGAGCCACACTCGGGATTACAGTGGGTGCATTTAAACATTTTGGGCAATACTCGTCTTATATAACAAGTATAGGCCAAAACCTATATTTTAAACACAAAAAGTAGGGGGTCGTCTTATACGCCAGCAAATACGCTAAGCCATATTTTTAATTCTACCACATGCTTCGATCTAATAAACCATAGATTGTAAATGATTAAGAAAAAAAAAAATCCGCTTTTTATACATTCCAGATTTTACATACCTAATGGCAACTGGAAGTGGATGAGATATTAGGCAGGAAGTGAACATTTTATTCCCTAAGTTGTGTTGGAAGCAGAAAATAAAAAAAAGAGCAAGTGTAAGGATTT